AATATAGTTCAAATTCAATAAAAATCGACAAAAATACAGTTTCTAGCTAAAATTTGATGGTTTCGTTGCACTTTCCGAGCCCGTAGGGTATCTGATTGCCTTAAAAGTACAAGAAAACACTTCAAAAGTGACGTTTCTGAAGAATTTTAACAGTTTTCTTGTATCTACGAACGCCAGAATGCATAAAATTGACCTAAACGTCTCCTTTTCCTATTCTGAGTCGATTCTGCATGCTTTAAGTGTGTTTGGTGGCTCAGAACCATCAAAAAACGTTGAAATATAGTTCAAATTCAATAAAAATCGACAAAAATACAGTTTCTAGCTAAAATTTGATGGTTTCGTTGCACTTTCCGAGCCCGTAGGGTATCTGATTGGCTTAAAAGTACAAGAAAACACTTCAAAAGTGACGTTTCTGAAGAATTTTAACAGTTTTCTTGTATCTACGAACGCCAGAATGCATAAAATTGACCTAAACGTCTCCTTTTCCTATTCTGAGTCGATTCTGCATGCTTTAAGTGTGTTTGGTGGCTCAGAACCATCAAAAAACGTTGAAATATAGTTCAAATTCAATAAAAATCGACAAAAATACAGTTTCTAGCTAAAATTTGATGGTTTCGTTGCACTTTCCGAGCCCGTAGGGTATCTGATTGGCTTAAAAGTACAAGAAAACACTTCAAAAGTGACGTTTCTGAAGAATTTTAACAGTTTTCTTGTATCTACGAACGCCAGAATGCATAAAATTGACCTAAACGTCTCCTTTTCCTATTCTGAGTCGATTCTGCATGCTTTAAGTGTGTTTGGTGGCTCCGAACCATCAAAATACGTTGAAATATAGTTCAAATTCAATAAAAATCGACAAAAATACAGTTTCTAGCTAAAATTTGATGGTTTCGTTGCACTTTCCGAGCCCGTAGGGTATCTGATTGCCTTAAAAGTACAAGAAAACACTTCAAAAGTGACGTTTCTGAAGAATTTTAACAGTTTTCTTGTATCTACGAACGCCAGAATGCATAAAATTGACCTAAACGTCTCCTTTTCCTATTCTGAGTCGATTCTGCATGCTTTAAGTGTGTTTGGTGGCTCAGAACCATCAAAAAACGTTGAAATATAGTTCAAATTCAATAAAAATCGACAAAAATACAGTTTCTAGCTAAAATTTGATGGTTTCGTTGCACTTTCCGAGCCCGTAGGGTATCTGATTGGCTTAAAAGTACAAGAAAACACTTCAAAAGTGACGTTTCTGAAGAATTTTAACAGTTTTCTTGTATCTACGAACGCCAGAATGCATAAAATTGACCTAAACGTCTCCTTTTCCTATTCTGAGTCGATTCTGCATGCTTTAAGTGTGTTTGGTGGCTCAGAACCATCAAAAAACGTTGAAATATAGTTCAAATTCAATAAAAATCGACAAAAATACAGTTTCTAGCTAAAATTTGATGGTTTCGTTGCACTTTCCGAGCCCGTAGGGTATCTGATTGGCTTAAAAGTACAAGAAAACACTTCAAAAGTGACGTTTCTGAAGAATTTTAACAGTTTTCTTGTATCTACGAACGCCAGAATGCATAAAATTGACCTAAACGTCTCCTTTTCCTATTCTGAGTCGATTCTGCATGCTTTAAGTGTGTTTGGTGGCTCAGAACCATCAAAAAACGTTGAAATATAGTTCAAATTCAATAAAAATCAACAAAAATACAGTTTCTAGCTAAAATTTCATGGTTTCGTTGCACTTTCCGAGCCCGTAGGGTATCTGATTGGCTTAAAAGTACAAGAAAACACTTCAAAAGTGACGTTTCTGAAGAATTTTAACAGTTTTCTTGTATCTACGAACGCTAGAATGCATAAAATTGACCTAAACGTCTCCTTTTCCTATTCTGAGTCGATTCTGCTTGCTTTAAGTGTGTTTGGTGGCTCAGAACCATCAAAAAACGTTGAAATATAGTTCAAATTCAATAAAAATCGACAAAAATACAGTTTCTAGCTAAAATTTGATGGTTTCGTTGCACTTTCCGAGCCCTTAGGGTATCTGATTGGCTTAAAAGTACAAGAAAACACTTCAAAAGTGACGTTTCTGAAGAATTTTAACAGTTTTCTTGTATCTACGAACGCAAGAATGCATAAAATTGACCTAAACGTCTCCTTTTCCTATTCTGAGTCGATTCTGCATGCTTTAAGTGTGTTTGGTGGCTCAGAACCATCAAAAAACGTTGAAATATAGTTCAAATTCAATAAAAATCGACAAAAATACAGTTTCTAGCTAAAATTTCATGGTTTCGTTGCACTTCCCGAGCCCGTAGGGTATCTGATTGGCTTAAAAGTACAAGAAAACACTTCAAAAATGACGTTTCTGAAGAATTTTAACAGTTTTCTTGTATCTACGAACGCCAGAATGCATAAAATTGACCTAAACGTCTCCTTTTCCTATTCTGAGTCGATTCTGCATGCTTTAAGTGTGTTTGGTGGCTCAGAACCATCAAAAAACGTTGAAATATAGTTCAAATTCAATAAAAATCGACAAAAATACAGTTTCTAGCTAAAATTTGATGGTTTCGTTGCACTTTCCGAGCCCGTAGGGTATCTGATTGGCTTAAAAGTACAAGAAAACACTTCAAAAGTGACGTTTCTGAAGAATTTTAACAGTTTTCTTGTATCTACGAACGCCAGAATGCATAAAATTGACCTAAACGTCTCCTTTTCCTATTCTGAGTCGATTCTGCATGCTTTAAGTGTGTTTGGTGGCTCCGAACCATCAAAAAACGTTGAAATATAGTTCAAATTCAATAAAAATCGACAAAAATACAGTTTCTAGCTAAAATTTGATGGTTTCGTTGCACTTTCCGAGCCCGTAGGGTATCTGATTGCCTTAAAAGTACAAGAAAACACTTCAAAAGTGACGTTTCTGAAGAATTTTAACAGTTTTCTTGTATCTACGAACGCCAGAATGCATAAAATTGACCTAAACGTCTCCTTTTCCTATTCTGAGTCGATTCTGCATGCTTTAAGTGTGTTTGGTGGCTCAGAACCATCAAAAAACGTTGAAATATAGTTCAAATTCAATAAAAATCGACAAAAATACAGTTTCTAGCTAAAATTTGATGGTTTCGTTGCACTTTCCGAGCCCGTAGGGTATCTGATTGGCTTAAAAGTACAAGAAAACACTTCAAAAGTGACGTTTCTGAAGAATTTTAACAGTTTTCTTGTATCTACGAACGCCAGAATGCATAAAATTGACCTAAACGTCTCCTTTTCCTATTCTGAGTCGATTCTGCATGCTTTAAGTGTGTTTGGTGGCTCAGAACCATCAAAAAACGTTGAAATATAGTTCAAATTCAATAAAAATCGACAAAAATACAGTTTCTAGCTAAAATTTGATGGTTTCGTTGCACTTTCCGAGCCCGTAGGGTATCTGATTGGCTTAAAAGTACAAGAAAACACTTCAAAAGTGACGTTTCTGAAGAATTTTAACAGTTTTCTTGTATCTACGAACGCCAGAATGCATAAAATTGACCTAAACGTCTCCTTTTCCTATTCTGAGTCGATTCTGCATGCTTTAAGTGTGTTTGGTGGCTCCGAACCATCAAAATACGTTGAAATATAGTTCAAATTCAATAAAAATCGACAAAAATACAGTTTCTAGCTAAAATTTGATGGTTTCGTTGCACTTTCCGAGCCCGTAGGGTATCTGATTGCCTTAAAAGTACAAGAAAACACTTCAAAAGTGACGTTTCTGAAGAATTTTAACAGTTTTCTTGTATCTACGAACGCCAGAATGCATAAAATTGACCTAAACGTCTCCTTTTCCTATTCTGAGTCGATTCTGCATGCTTTAAGTGTGTTTGGTGGCTCAGAACCATCAAAAAACGTTGAAATATAGTTCAAATTCAATAAAAATCGACAAAAATACAGTTTCTAGCTAAAATTTGATGGTTTCGTTGCACTTTCCGAGCCCGTCGGGTATCTGATTGGCTTAAAAGTACAAGAAAACACTTCAAAAGTGACGTTTCTGAAGAATTTTAACAGTTTTCTTGTATCTACGAACGCCAGAATGCATAAAATTGACCTAAACGTCTCCTTTTCCTATTCTGAGTCGATTCTGCATGCTTTAAGTGTGTTTGGTGGCTCAGAACCATCAAAAAACGTTGAAATATAGTTCAAATTCAATAAAAATCGACAAAAATACAGTTTCTAGCTAAAATTTGATGGTTTCGTTGCACTTTCCGAGCCCGTAGGGTATCTGATTGGCTTAAAAGTACAAGAAAACACTTCAAAAGTGACGTTTCTGAAGAATTTTAACAGTTTTCTTGTATCTACGAACGCCAGAATGCATAAAATTGACCTAAACGTCTCCTTTTCCTATTCTGAGTCGATTCTGCATGCTTTAAGTGTGTTTGGTGGCTCAGAACCATCAAAAAACGTTGAAATATAGTTCAAATTCAATAAAAATCAACAAAAATACAGTTTCTAGCTAAAATTTCATGGTTTCGTTGCACTTTCCGAGCCCGTAGGGTATCTGATTGGCTTAAAAGTACAAGAAAACACTTCAAAAGTGACGTTTCTGAAGAATTTTAACAGTTTTCTTGTATCTACGAACGCCAGAATGCATAAAATTGACCTAAACGTCTCCTTTTCCTATTCTGAGTCGATTCTGCATGCTTTAAGTGTGTTTGGTGGCTCAGAACCATCAAAAAACGTTGAAATATAGTTCAAATTCAATAAAAATCGACAAAAATACAGTTTCTAGCTAAAATTTGATGCTTTCGTTCAGAGATATGGAGAAGGAGAATGAGCTTCCCCATGCGCAGACGAAATCCTTGGTCTAAAATTGAAAGCAGCCATTTTATCAGTTGACTGTTGCCAACATAATCACAAATCACTAACAGAACTTGATATCCCTAGACAATTGCTTCATTATTGGGCGGGAAGTTTAAAATCATTAATTACAATCACCTAATAATAAATCACAACTAAAATATATTTCACCTTAAACGAATAAATAAACATAATTATACTTCAATATATTTATTGATGCGAAAACAGTACTAATTATGTGTACACATGTCTAACAGAAGTGCCTTGAGCAAGACATGAAAGTCTTTTGCTCAAATGAAACATTCTTATTCGCATGTAGGCATTAATTATTTGTTTAATAAGAATATATAAATGGCCTTCATCGATGGCCACCGTCTCGAGTGCGTGGGTCTTCTAAATTAGGAAAAAGAATGCTGGCATGCCGAAAGTTTTAAAAAATTGTTCATCGCTTGGAAGTTTATCGGTGAGTTGCAAAATTTTTCGTATTAACAGTAACAACAAGTCTTCACAACCCCAGCAAAAGGTTTAATAAGCCCACCTAAAATCAAAATTTTGTTAAGACTTAAAAAATAACTATTGTAAGTATTTGATTTTACCCATGTTTTTTTTGTCCAATAATCTGTAAAAGTGTAAGTCACTTCTTCTTGTTTCAATACAAGAAGAAATGCAGTCTGCGCACTTAAACGTCTTCACCACCATTTTGACAACATAGCTACCAATATATGCCACGTTTTCTGCCACTTCACTCAGCCCAATAAACTTAGACGGTCATAGTCATGATCTGCAAGTGCTTCAGTCAAAATATCGAGATCATATTTTTTCAAGACAAACACGTCAACTGATTGTTGAACATTTGTGCTCTTTTGCTTTGGGCCAATGTTAACAGAGAGCAGACAGGTGGTGCAAAGCACTTTACAATTTCCTCCTTCCCTCGTTATGTTTGTAAATAGAAGCAATCTTCTAAGTTTTACAAAATCGTAGAGGAGTAGGGTTATTGTTTCACCCATTTCTCGATCTGAAAACAGAAAAATAAATACAGATTTGTGTAATTCCAGTGCATAAAAAAGTAATACAATTGTTTTTTTAAAAGCTTACCGCACTGAGCAGAAGAAAATTTCTAGATGATCTTGACTACATTTATGTTAGCAAGTCATTCAACCTCTTACTACTAACAAATTCATCAAAAATTCCCATGAACGACGTAGCGGAAATAACAAAGCCCAGAATTGACGTTTTTCGGGGCGTGCACCACAAAGGCCCGCCAGTGACATCCTTCAAATTCAGAAGATACTCACTGGTGTCGATGAGAAATGGACGCCACATTTCTTCATTGTTTTCTCTCAAAGGTGCCTTAAAATTCTTAGCACGTACACTTCGAGAATTGAGAATATCAAATAAAGAATCTATCCTTCTGATGAATTCTATTGTTGTTTCACAACCTTGAAAGTCACTAATACCAAGATCTTTTAAAAATTCAAGTGCATCCGCAACTCTTGCTAAGAGTTTGTGCTGCTAAACTCACCTATAATAGAACTTAATTATTGTCAATAAGGAATATTGTCAGGAAAACAACTTACTTTCATTTTATGTTTCCATCACTCCAAATGTGCCTTTTTCAACTTGTTTGCAACATTTAGGAATTCATCATTTTGTAATTCATGTAGTTTCTTTATGTAACGCCAGCTTATCACCTTCCCTCCTGTCAGAACTACTTTTTGAGTTCTTGCTTTTACTTCCACTTGTACTGCTACTGCTTTTTCCATGGTATCTCTGCGCAGCACTAAATAATAATTATTAACAGTAGTAAAAAATTCAATATAATAAAATATTCAAACCTTAATGTCCTCTTTACACCTTGAGGTATAATCGATGGAGACTCTTCTCAAATATAGCTGAAGTAGCACTCACAGTACTCATTGAAGTTGAAGAAGCTTCTAGACTTTCATCTAAATTCACACTGGGAATTGCGTTCGATTTCAATCGTTTTCACTCAATTACAACATTGAAATCAGTTGTTGTGAAATGATCTGAGCACACCAGCTTATACTTAGTCAGTTTGAAGCTGTCACCTTTTTTCACAACAATCAGCCACTTTTTTAAAAGTTTTCGATCTTTCGGAAACCTAAAATCAGATATAATAAATATTGATCACATAGTATTGCAATAACCAATTGTTATTAATTATAACTATCTACGTATTCGATTTTAATAAGATAATGAAGAAAACTTACTGATGAAAAGATACACCTTCTGAACGAAATCGTTGACAATTTTTACAGTGAGAAACTGTACAAGACATGTGTGTTGTCAATAATAATGTCCTTTAACACTAACAAGCACGTTCACACGTACACTAACGGTAAAACAAATTAAGTAATAATTTTAACTCCAAATTACAACTGGTTCAACAACGTCGTAACCTCGTAGGTAAACAAAACTTTAAGGTTAACTGATAAAATGGCGGCCCCCATAGTGTACCGATGCGCAGAAGTCGAAGCTCATTCTCCTTCTCCATATCTCTGGTTTCGTTGCACTTTCCGAGCCCGTAGGGTATCTGATTGGCTTAAAAGTACAAGAAAACACTTCAAAAGTGACGTTTCTGAAGAATTTTAACAGTTTTCTTTTATCTACGAACGCCAGAATGCATAAAATTGACCTAAACGTCTCCTTTTCCTATTCTGAGTCGATTCTGCATGCTTTAAGTGTGTTTGGTGGCTCAGAACCATCAAAAAACGTTGAAATATAGTTCAAATTCAATAAAAATCGACAAAAATACAGTTTCTAGCTAAAATTTGATGGTTTCGTTGCACTTTCCGAGCCCGTTGGGTATCTGATTGGCTTAAAAGTACAAGAAAACACTTCAAAAGTGACGTTTCTGAAGAATTTTAACAGTTTTCTTGTATCTACGAACGCCAGAATGCATAAAATTGACCTAAACGTCTCCTTTTCCTATTCTGAGTCGATTCTGCATGCTTTAAGTGTGTTTGGTGGTTCAGAACCATCAAAAAACGTTGAAATATAGTTCAAATTCAATAAAAATCGACAAAAATACAGTTTCTAGCTAAAATTTGATGGTTTCGTTGCACTTTCCGAGCCCGTAGGGTATCTGATTGGCTTAAAAGTACAAGAAAACACTTCAAAAGTGACGTTTCTGAAGAATTTTAACAGTTTTCTTGTATCT